CGCGACAATTCCGAAGTCCTAGAGGCCTATGTTATTCATAACCTAGGCTGCAGGAGAAGCAGCTCACGGTTCGAGCAGTTCCCTAGCGTAAAAGACGAACAACAAAGGTAGAGGAGCTTTTCACCCGGGCCCCGGCTACGGCTTTTCTCTTCAGCGACTAAGTAGCAACTCCCGTATGGACCCGCAAGGGAACTATATCGGTGTAAGAAATATGAATGAATGAATTCGGTCTGCATCATTGCATGCTATAGCGAGTGTGTTCCGCCTCACGCACTAAATCACAGCTCGCACGCGAGCATCGCACGTAGAATCCACCGAGCATTCGTGTCCAAAGCACGAGAGAAAAACCATACATCGTAGCTTATCAAAAGCTCCACATCGACCCCCCAGGCATATCCTTCGCAGTCTGAAATTGCTAATGTTTGGCAACAGGTGTGGTGGCGCGAGCAGCAATGTTATCGTAGCTACAGTCGTGCTACGAGCTCCCATGTGGAGGCCAGAGCTTCTATGCAGTACCAGCAGCCTGGCCACCGGCGGCATCTTTGTAATTGTTGTAGTACGCATATGGCACGCCAATGTACTGCCGCTTCTCGAGAGCCTCGATCGGTCCGGCCTCCAGATCCCGCTTCTCGTTACCGGTGGCATCTTTGTAATTGTTGTAGTACGCATATGGCGTGCCAATGTACTGCCTTGCCTCGAGTGGCGCCCCTATTTCACCTACAGATCGCACAAGTCAACATGCTAACCTTGACTTGTAATGCAGAAAGTTGCTTAACGTCTCCCGAAGACAACTCTGTATTTGTCCTCTCCTGTCTTGACAATACCATGCATTGCAGGTAATATCAAATCTCGTCTGGCGACCTCAGGTCTCGTTTCCTGCCACTCACCTGTCACAGGTGCGGGTGCCTAATTCGATTTAGTACAACAACAGAAATCGATTGTGGTGTCGTGACATACCGCAATGACGTCTCTAGACGCCAGCAGCCCCATAGCCAGAAGGGTTGCCAAATACATTGTGGAGATTGCCGCGGGAGTTTTCGGTCCAAAATGAATATATCGAGTTGAGAACTGGAGAAGGACGTCTCGATACTTCTCTATTCCGGAGATGTTTCTCTTGACATTTTATAACTCTCAGAAGAGTAGCAAGTCCCCGGAGAAGCTCGCTTTCTCCACCCGGCGGTGAGACGACTAACTACGGTTGTCGATGCTACGTCGAACGGCCTAGTAACGCTCGTGCGGATGTGAATGACTTAGGGCTCCTCCTCAATGATTACACCCTGACTAATAGCTCCATCAACACTAGTGCCTGTCTGATCATGCAAGTCTAGTATTAATTCCTATGCACAAAGTTCAGCACGCCTGAACATACGAAGTTGGTCACCGCCATAACCCTGCTACTGTCAACAAATGTCCCTGTGCTTCAATGAGACTTAGGGCTGCTCATGTAGCTACGGCTAGACCGAAAAGCCGAATCATACTCAAGGCTATCCGATGTCAACATGTTCACGGCCGTTGGATGTGCTGCAAGCAGGCTAGGTGCGATGGCGATCACGGAACTTTGTGAAAGAGACCAGAAGGTTACAAGGTCTAGCACAACTACCAACCGTGCAGAACGTCTCTTTGGAAGATAACGGCTCCGACAAACCACTCTACCACCGATCCCAACTGGTTCATCCTGGAAATTGACAAGGAGTTGCGAGTGGAATCAATACCCGGCGTCGAGCTGTGTTGCTAAGAAGGACAGTTGATCCGGACGAGATCATGAGAACACGTACAATTTGATTTACCGTCAAACTCCGACGCCCGCTGCACTCCAATCAACAGATTAGCATTTAGAACATACATGATGCATAGTGTCTGCTGCTGCATTTACTTCTTCAAGCCCGGTCCGAGTGACCCTAGTGGACAGAAGTAGTGGCGGCGGTAAGTGGAGAACCTTGGCAATGAGCATCATGTGAACAGATGCGCACGAGCTGCAACATCACACCACTTCCAGATCGAAGGCCTGAGCCGGGTAGCACTAGCTTGAAGGTTGAGTAAGACGAGCGGCGGCCTAGCGTTCTGTCGTACCTCCAGTCGTGTGAGCTGTCGAGCGACGACTCCTCCAGCCTATACCTCATCTTTACTGTTCACAACGCCATCGCAATGGTACCACGCCCAACCGTATTCGGAAGGGGTCGTCTCTCGACTAGCGATGATGACTCCGAGGAATATCTCCTAGGTGACAATTCGAGCACGTCTCGTACCAAACATACTTGGTGTAGAGTACTGGCGATAGCTCAAACGTGCACCACCCTGCTTTTAACGGTGATCCTCCTACAAAACGGCGGTGTCGTCCGCCGACAGGAAGGACTTGCCGCAGCAACTGCTTATGGTACTGATTTTGGCACAATAGTCGATTGCAGACTAATGGTAGTACAGGTAATCTCGATGAAAAGATTAGATTCATACAAAAGCCTTTTGTGAATCCCATACAGCCTAGCGACGACGGTGAGCATTTAGAAATCTGGTGGGATCAGTCTTCCACCAGATACGCCGGTCCACCAAGCTTAGCGGTCGACCTGGCTTGGGACGCCCTCCTTACGAGTAATCTGCATCGACTCACTCCCCATTCGGAGGTCTGTTGTCACTGACATCAACTGACAGACACGGTTTTCAATGTGTCAATACACGATGAAGTCGCCAAACCCGCGTTGACCAGAACCTATATATACGAGGACGGCAACATTACGCTTGGGTTTGAAGTATACCACGCGTTGCACTGTCTGGTAACTGGGTCTCTCCATCCTTACACTATCAGTAGCGAGAAGTTGACCATCTTTGCGCAGAACGTGATTCGACTCATGCTAGACCCAGAGACCTACATCTTCAACGAACTAGCACAAGAGACCTCCATTCACCGATGTACGATAAGCTGCGTCCACAGCACAATTTCGAGCAGATGCTAACTTCGACTGTCTCTTCAGACCATTGCATGGACTATCTCCGTCAGTACATACAATGCAATGCCGATCTAACCCCTATGTTTGCTTTCAAGAAAGGAGATCATGCACTGTTGCTAAAGCCATATGCACTCCACAGCTGTCGCGACATCGATCAACTCAATGGGTGGATATCAGAGCACCGAACGTCGACAGTTTGAATGTAGATAGTCACGCTGCACTCACCGATATGCCAATGAAAGGTGAAATAGAGCCGCTTGCAGTTTCTCACGTGCCATCGCTCCACCATTACGGCTATCTGAGTTCTGTGATGCATCTCTGATGTGTCGCGCTGTCGTACATAAGCAGCAAGTTGCGAGTCCACGAGATACGCTATGCAAAACTACGTATGGCTACTGTCGGAGCAAGACTGGAACCCAATCACAAACCCAGCTTGTCCCATGCCGGCGAGGAGACAAGTCCTCAAGTTTTATGCGAACATGATTAGTTTGAAGAACCGTAACGATGAAAATAAGACTATGATTATCTAACTTGATCTGCCACTCCAACTGATGAGCGGGTGGACGTGGCCTGATATCGCCGTATCCTCTTCCAGCCTGGCCCCTTCAAACGTGTGCTTCTTGTACCATGACAAGAAAGAGTCGAAGTTTTTACATTGTTTGCTTCTTGCGAAATCCAAAACCACGCTGTCATCCTGCTCGCTGAGCAAAAACGGAAGGACACCGAGGTCGACATTGCACATAATCACCTGTCGCAGAAGATCAATGCAATGGGCCGTGTGCAACTCCACAAGAGGTACAGACTGCGGTCCCGTCAAGATGTGCTGGCTCTCATCCCACATGGGGTGCCCTCTGGCTCTATAGTAATCGACGTTGTACCAAAGACCCTGCCGAAGGTAATTGACGCAGTGCAAGTAGTGCAGCACCTGGACCTTCACGCTCATTCCAGCGTATGGAGCAGCAGGGTTGTCCTTGGGGTCTAGCCACACATGTCCGGTTTTCTCTATGCCATAGTCGGAGACTTGTGCAGCCGGAATGACAATCGGTGCTTCTGTACGTGGGTGAGTGCTTTGTTGTTGAAGCACATATATCATTGAACGCACCATAGATTCCCAGGTCTGCCCAGCTTTTCTCGACCTCATCGCCGACGTCTTCTGTCCTTGCCGTGTATCGAGTAAAGTTATATTCGAACGAATTGAACACCTCGGTGTGAAATGTCCTGTCTATCTCCGACATGAAGGAGGCCACTTCGTATAAGCAACAAGCTAGACGCGAATGATAGCACACGATGTGTAAACTTACGGACTGATTCGACCATGGTGCTCGGAGGATAAGGGCAGGAGTTGTAAAATGAGGACCACGTTATCGAAGAAAAGAATGTCAATCCATTGCTCAAAAGTACAACCAAAAACCATTTCCAATTCCGGCCCTTGCTCTTTTGAGCAGTCAGGACAAGTGATTCGTCGCTGTCAGCGCAGCCGTCGAGTGGTAAGTAATGGGCTTTGTTGCCAGACATGTTGTCTAACATCGGCTGAGTATAGTCCTGCTTGGCGAAATGTAGCACAAGATGTGCACTAGACAAAGAACGCTCAGCACACCATGGCAAGCCGTTCGCGGACTTAGGAACGCTACTGTGTGGTTCTGCATGCACGGTACGACCGCAGAGGGGCTTCTGATAATGCATATCAGAATCTTATGGGACCTTGTGTCAAGAGATAAGTCACTGAACACTCATTCTCGCATTGCATAGCCGGCGTGCCCATCCTTGAGATCTGTTGGCCAGAATTCGACCATGATCTCTTGGTGTCGAGCTGTCAAGCCGACAGGGCGTCCACAAAGCCGTTGATCTCCCGCCGGGCGAGTTCAGCATCATTACTATTAGGTAATACGAGCTTTGCGAGTTACACTGCAAGGAAGCATGAAAGCGGTGTGGATCAGAGATTTCGGATATGCGATCGCTGGGACTGGCCCAGATTGCGTATGCACTACCTGCGCTGACTCGGCACGTCTCGGGAAGCTACTCTATTAGCGGCGAACATCGGTTCAAGTGGTTCAAGAATCAGGCTAAATTTCACTATAAACTTTGTATTGTTGAACCGGCCGCGCAAAAACACTTGACCCCGCCCAAAAATCTTCATCGGTGAATTACGGTCTAAGAGCTTGCCGAGTATCAGGCTATAAGGTCTATCCTTGAGCTATAAAGTTTTGGACCTACCTGGGACCACCCCTTGCATAGCAATAAATACTAAAAGGTTCTGCGGTATAGCAAGGGTCACTTCAAGCGGGGTAGGCAGCAGGTACTTAAGCGGGGTAGGCAGCAGGTACTTAAG